CCATGGGCTCAGGCAATCCTCTGGCCTATGCCTCCCAAAGTGCTGGGATTATAGGCATGAGCCACCATGCCCAACCAAGGTAATTTGCTTATTAAAGAGAAGAGTCTGTGCCCCAGAAAACACTGATTTTAAAGCAAGGTCATAAAACTCAATCTGCACCCCCAGTTTATTTGTATTTTTCTCAGGGAAAAAGTTCCTTAAGGGGTGCACACCAAGAAGAAGCAAAGGCATTCTTGGCTTCTTGCAGGAAGTCTGTTGTCTACACGCTTAAACCTGTAGCCATGCAGTCAGCTACAAAAAAGTCTTTCCTGTTAACCAGCCTGCTACCCTTGAACGCACAGTAGACAGGATTGGGCCACCTTGGGTGAAGTGTTCATTATTGTTCAGCCCAGGGCTTTGAACACAGTCTGTAGCGTTCCTGTTTGGACTTTGCATCCTGTTTTCATAGTCTGCACCCTTCCTCACAGATCAGGGTGTTTGTCAGGAAGGTTTTTGAGCAATTCGCCATGTCACAAGTGATGCAGCAGGTTACTGATTTCAGAAGACGTCTTACTGCTTAGTAACCGGTTTATATTGACATGTGAGTTTTGCAAGAGGGGCTGTGAAGGAAGACATATGCATGATTTTCTCAAATTCTGCAGCATGAAGTGAAAAAACGTTATCCCAGGGAGCATTTGCTAACTTTTCCCTGACCCTCTGACTTGTGAGGCATCCTCTCTCAATCTGCATGTGTTTAAGAACTGAGAGGAAGGCTGCATGGGGGAGTCTTTAGAATCAGACCTGGAATCACTCTATAAAAAAGACACCTGCACACGTATGTTTATCACAGCATGGTTCACAATAGCAAGAACATGGAACCAACCATGTCTGTCTGAAGACGACTGGATTTTAAAAAGTGGTATAAATACACGATGGAATATAACGCAGTTATAAAGAAGAACAAAATCTGAACTTCACAGTGACCTGGATGGACTTAGAGTCTATCATACTGAGTGATCTTTCACAGAAACAAAGAACTGAGTATCACATGTTCTCACTCATAAATACACTTTGAACAACTATCGTAATACTATAAGGAAAGGATTGACAATAGCAGGAAACTGCGGGGGTTAGGGGGACGGGGAGGTGAGATTGGTAGTCGTGGCAATCTGCCTGGGGAAGGGGGGGGCACACCTCATCAACAAGGGTACCTGCACATTGAATATTTGTATACCTAACCCTGAATTGTACCCACAATTTTAAAATAAAAAATTTGCAAGTTAAAAAAAAAAAGAATCAGACCTGGGTTCAATCACAGTCCTTCCCTTCACTGGGAGGAGCTGTGTGATCCAGGAAAAGGTATTTGATCTCTTTAAACTTCAGTGGCTTCATCTGTAAACCTGACAATACTAGCCCATACTTGGGGTTGATGGAAATATTGCATGAGATGCTGCATGTCAAATGCTTCCGACATCGTGGCGCACGTAAGAAATAATAAGTGAGCACCGTTTAAAAGGGAGAGTATGAATGCCACTAAACGTGATGTATGAAGTTCATTTTTGTCTGGATGTTTTCTCCACTCGAGATAGAATAAAGCCGTTTAAAGCGGACATGATCGCCAGCAGACTTAGTGATGCTGTTGAGAAAGTATGCCTTTCTTCCTCATGGATGCTAATTCCTTCCTAAAACATTCTTGACCTGTTAGTTACTGCTGAGGATTTCTGCATTCCTGAGCTAGATAGCTGCTGATTGCTGACTTTGTTGCGAAGATGGATGAAGGCCTTATTTGGCTGCCCAAGAAAGGACTAAAATCTGTGTGTTCATGCCAGAGGAAAAGCAATTAATGTAAAATTTCAGCGTCACCAAGGAAAAGTATTTGCTAAGACAGAATTAACATCTGGGGTCCGCCACAAGCGATTTCTCATAAACCCAAGTGAATTAAGTGGAAGGGAGAGGGAACTCAAGCTTCCAGCCTGATTCACGATACACAATCATGAGAAAATCTAAAATATGTGGAGTATGTGGGTAAAAACCATTTATTTATGCTATTTGTTTATTTTCTGTAGAAAGCAGGATTAATTGAGAGGACAGAAAAGCTCCCACAGTGGGAGGGGACCCGAAGGGGTTGTCCAAAAGCCATTTAAATAATACTATACTAAAATGTATTTTAAAACATTAATTTCAGACTGAAATTTTTTTTTTTTTTTTTTTGAGTTGGAGTCTCAGTCGCCCAGACTGGAGTGCAGTGGCCACCGCAGCCTCAACCTGCTGGGCTCCGGCGATCCTTCCGCCTCAGCCTTCCTAGTAGCCGGAATTACAGGCATGTGCAACCACGCCCGGCAGATTTTTTATTTATTGTAGAGATGAGTTCTCGCTGCCCAGACGGGTCTCGAACCCACGGGCTCAGGCAATCCACTCACCTCAGCCTCATCCCAAAGGCGCGGGATTACAGGCTGAGCCACCGAGCCCGGCGAGACCGAAATTTTTAGGAAGGATGAAACATAAAGAAAAATTGCTACTAAGAGGACTTTCTGTAGGTTTGCAAATAGAACTATGATTGAGTAAATGCAGGTAACATATAGAGAGTTACTACGTTTGTCCTTTCTTGGGAATATCCTAGGCCGGGCACGGTGGCTTACACCTATAATCCCAGCACTTTGAGAGGCCAGGGTGAGAGGATTGCCTGAGCCCACGGGTGGGAGGCTGAGATGAGAAAATTGCCTGGTTTGAGACCAGCCCTGGCAGCTTGCAGAGACCTCGTCTCTACAATAAATCAAGAAATTAGCTGAGCATGGTGGCGCGTGTCTGTAGTTCCAGCTACTTGGAAGACTGAGGTGGAAGGATCTCCAGAGCCCACCAGGTCAAGGCTGCGGTGGCCGGGAGCATGCCACTGCCCTCCAGCCTGGGTGACAGAGTGAGACTCCGACTCAAAAAAAGAGAAGATCCAGAGACATTAGCATCATTAGCATAACTACATGATACATCAGGTATAAATACCGTGTATGATTAAGTTTAAAACATTACCTCACTTCCTGTGCTTTGGGAACTACAGTCTGGAATTTCTGTGAACTCATGGTTTAGATTGTAGTTGTCAAATCAGTGGTTTATGTATCATCTCAAAGAGCCTTCAGATCTTATAGAGATAATAGTTCAGATAAAAGGAATTCACATATGGTACGGAGTTGTAGGGACTCACAGTTCCATTTGGGAAGCCCGTGTGATGTGTTGTGATGTGTAACAGGTCAGGAGTTAAATCTGAAACTATTCATCACCTTTCTTTCTTCCTTTGGGCTATGTCAGTCCATTCTGCCCACAAGTAAACTGTGATAAAATATAGTAGGACTGCTCCAGAAGTGCTCTGGCTTCCCTTACAGAGACACACCCATTATCTGTTCACCACGGAAACACAAAAGACGCTCTGAAACTGAGCACTGATCACTGACTGAATCGGAAAACAGGGTGTCAGCGCCCCAACCACTTTTCTGGTTTATATTGCTCAAAGTTGGGACACTGCACACACACACACACACACACACACACACACACACACACACACACACACACGGGTCCATTTGACTATGAGTTTATTTCAAAAAAGGAGCATGAATGTCGATTTCAAGCTTCATTGGAAGAACTGAATATTCACCGTCTGAAAGGAAACATCACACTGTGGTTATTTTTTTCTTACAAACCTAATTTTTTTTTAAACAACCCTTTCCTTACTTAGTTTCTTAAGTATGGCTGGAGTCATAAAGGAAACTTACTTTCAGATAACAAAATCCCTACATTTTCTCTAAAACGAATAATGAAAATCTTTTGCTTAGCTGTTCAGGGAAAGGGCTGTTTATAATATGAGTTTTTTAATAAGCCCATGAGCTAAACTACTATATTTAAGGATTTTGGCAAATTTTGTAGTACAGCCCCAGGATATTAGAGCTGTCTTCACAGCTCTTTGAGTTCCAGCCTTTGAGTTCAAACGGTTGTTTGTAACTTACCTGTCGGTTGACAGAGAATCTGTAAAGCCTTGGTCATGGCATGACTCCAAGGAATCCTTCTCCCAATTCTCTGTGCTCTTGTTACTGTAAATGACTGATGTCAAAAGGCCCAATTTCGAAAAAAAGACTGTGGAAAGATAGAATCCCACAGCACTGAACACTGCACCAGTCTCTTCTTCCATGGGCTTTCCCCTTTTCCTTCTTCCATCTCAAGCCTCTTCCACCCCGGGGGTATTCTTCCGCACATCGTGACGTCCAACTTGTTCCTGCAGGGTTTGAGGTTGGAATTTTCTGATAAATAAACTTTTTATTTTACAACTATTTTAAATTCACGGGATTATTGCAAAGATAATTCAGAGAGTTCCCCTGTATTCTCCATCATTCCTCATATGCTCCATCATTGACATTCTGTGTTAGTGTGGGTGCATTTATTTGTCACAGTTCATGAACCAGTGCCAATACGTTGTTGATGGGATTCATAGCTTTATTTAGACGTCCTCATTTTCTCCTCACCGTCCTGTTTCTGTTTCAGCATCTCTTCCAGGATGCTGCATGACACTTAGTTGTCCTGCGCCCTCAGGCTTCTCTTGGCTGTGACAGTTTTTCAAACTTTCTTGTTTCCAAGGATCGAGACAGTTTAAAGGATGACTGGTTAGGATTGTTGCACAATGTGTCTCAGTTAAGATCTGTCTGATGTCTCATTATTGGCCTGAGATGGAGAGTTTTGGCAAGTTTCACAGAGGTCAAGTGTCATTCTCATCATGTTGCAGCAAAGACACAGACCTTCAGCACGACTCCACGTTGCTGATGTTGACCTTGAGGGTTTGGTTCTGGGTGTCTGTCAGGTGTCTGCCTTTATCCCTCCCCCCAAGACCATCAGAGGGGTTTCCTGAAGACCTTAATGACATATGTGTCTGGTTTTTCCTTATCGGCGATGTTGTCAAGTGGCTATTTGTTTCTAGATATTTAGACAAATATAATTCTGGAGGTGGTAAAGGACATCTTCTTTTTTCTCCTGTGCTGTAGGTGGGAATGCGATCCCGAAACCAAGGAGGTGAAGGTTCATCTGATGGGCAGATCTCTTGCCCCAAGCCCCCTGTCATCAGCCATGTGGGTGATAAAAGTCTTTCAGAAGATGCAAAAAGGAAGAACAAATCAAATAGGAAGGAGGACGATGTCATGGCCTCAGGAACTGTCAAACGACACCTGAAAACACCCGGAGAAGGCGAACGAAAGACTAAGAAGTCCCTGGAGTTATCCAAAGAAGATCTCATCCAACTGCTCAGTATCATGGAAGGGGAGCTCCAGGTAGAGTCAGACTTTCTCAGCTTCTGTGTCTCCAGTTCCTAAGCTATCAAATAAGAGGCTATAAGTCTGTCCCCCCTCTCTGGTCTGTGAGCTTCATGGAGAAAGGAGATATGTTTTCCTTGTTTATTTCTAAATCCCTAGTGCCTGGTGCAAGTTTACACTAAATAAATATTTGCGGAATGAAAGATTAATGGAAAGCTTCTGATTCCAACTTCAAGCTCTTCTTCTTCTTCTTTTTTTTTTTTAGTGAGAAGGCAGGATTTATTGAGAGGACAGAAAAACTCCCACACAGTGGGAGGGGACCCAAAGGGGTTACCCCACCTTCAAGCTTTTCTAGAATCGAAAACTTTCTTCATGGTATGATTTAGGTAATAATTTAATAAGTGCCCCTGCACTCGGTGGGCAATCAACTAGGATGTCTAATTGAGACATTGACTGTGGTTGAAACATGTAGGAAAGTCATTATTATTATTATAATTATTTTTTGAGTTGGAGTCTCACTCTGTCATCCACACTGGAGTGCAGTGTCCACTCCCGGTCACCACAGCCTCGACTGCTGAGCTCCGGCAATCCTTCCGCCTCAGCCTTTCGAGTAGCTGGAATTACAGGCGTACGCTACCACGCCCGGCTGATTTTTGATTTATTGTAGAGATGAGTTCTCGCCAATTTGCCCAGGCGGGTCTCAAACCCGCGGGCTCAGGCAATTCACTCACCTCAGCCTGCCAAGGTGCGGGATTACAGGCTGAGCCACTGAGCCCGGCGAGGAAAGTCATTATTAAGACTGGAGAGTTATGGTCAGTTGTTTCTTTCGCTTTGTTCTAGAGGGCAAAGTAAAAGAGTTATAGTGATGAAAAGAGAAGGAGAGGCAAGAAGGCTTTGTTGAAACCAGCCTTTCGGCCCAGTCTTATGTCATTTTTTCATAGCTTTCACCCTCAACTTTCTACAATGTCACAGGAATTGAGATTTACACAAATAAACAGAGCATCACATTCTTTGTGAAGAAACTAATTGTTTCCTGAGCATTTTCAAGCCTATTTTCTAATATGATCTCAGTTAAAATGCGGGTATCCCTGTCTGTATTTTATAAATGAAGAAATGGAGGCCCAGAAGGGTGACATGGCTTGTCCAGATCTCATCTCAGGCCTCCTGATTCTTGGTCCTGGGCTCCTTCTTCGGCTTATCCCCGCCAACCCTATTGAGCCGGGTCTCTCCCTCTCATGAAGTCTGTGTTTTTAGGGATCCAGGAGGCAGCTGAAACTCTTCTGAGTTTCTGATCCCTGAACAATTATTCTTCTAGAAGTAGAAGAAAAATAACTTTTTTTTTTGAGGAGAGGATGACTTAAGAGCGTAGTTAAGCCGGGCTCGGTGGCGCTGAGGTGAGTGGATTGCCTGAGCCCGCGGGTTTGAGACCCGCCTAGGCAGGCGAGACCTCATCTCTACAATAAAAATCAAAAAATGAGCCGGGCGTGGTAGCGCACGCCTATAGTTCTAGCTACGTGGAAGGCTGAGGCGCAAGGATCGTCGGAGCCCAGCTGCGGTGGCTGAGAGTGTCTGGGCGATGGAGTGAGTCTCCAACTCAAAAAAAAAAAAAAAAAAGAGTGTAGTTACTGTTTTCCTTTTTGTTTTTGTTAGCCTGCATGAGCCTCTAAGGGAATACTAACAATTGCATGTAATAAAATCCTTGTGGGTCTTTTTTTTTTTTAACTTTTTCTTTTTTTTACTGTTGTTAGCATCAGAGAGGTAATTTGCATCTACCCTAAGATAGGGCGGGCCACTCTGATACTGTTCTCATCTGTGTGTGCACACAGATAAAGGAACCCCTGGGGTAAAGAGAAACATAAAACATGCAAAGTTCACGAGTTTAAAACAAACAAACAAACAAATGTGACTGAGCTTACCATTTACAGACTTAGGAAAATCAAACCTGCATTTCACAGCAAAAGATGAAAATTTCCAGAGTGTCGCCATTATTAAAAATAGCTTCACCACTCCCAGAAATGAAGTGTTTTGTCTGCTGACATGGACTGTGTAAGAAAGCAGAAGTACTTTAGCCTTTTAAGCTGCTCTAGCTGACAGTATTGACCTGAGTGAAAGGCCCAAATGTTGCCCTGGGCACCTTCGGAAGGTAACGCCATCAGCTCCCTTCTCTCCAGCCAGGAGACTTGTGATGCCAGTGGTGCTTACAGGCTCTAATTTCTCTACGAGGCTGTCATATCATGGTGGCCTGTGGAAAGTATTTACGATTCACGTATCTTTGATAATGTTCATAGCCGTGCTAGATATGGTTCCAGATTTTAGCTATGCAAAATATAAACTTGCACATCTGAGGCATTAAAGAAATTAGTTGGAAGGCTCCAAAGACAGGCACTTGGCTTTCCCTTAATCTTTGTGATTACTAGTATACCTTCCTTACAGAGTAGATGCATTCTTGAGAAGCTATAAATAAGAAGAAAGTGTAAGACATCTTTTGTGGGGGAGAGGGTGGTGAGAAAGTGAAAGGAATGACCTTGTGTTTTAAGAAATTCCTTGGTGAGTTCATTTGCAAAGCAAATAATCTCTTCCATCCAAATGCACACACATAGGTCCAAGTACATATTTATGTATTTGTAAATGTAGATTTCACAATATTGGATTTATTTAAAATGAGAGTGGGCCAGGCTCAGTGGCTCAGCCTATCATTTCTGCATTTCGGGGGGCCAAGGCAAGTAGATTACCTGAGCCCGTGGGTTCGAGACCCACCCGGGCAACTTGGCAAGACCTTGTCTCTACAATAAATCAAAAATGAGCCGGGTGTGGTAGCACGCACCTGGGGCTTCGGTTACTTGGAAGGCTGAGGCGGAAAGATCACCTGAGCCATGAGCCACTGCACTCCAGCCTGGGCGACAGAATGAGACTCCAACTAAAAAATAAATAAATAAATAAATGAATAAATAAAATAAAATGAGAGGGTTCCCATATTTAAAGTGTGGCAGACACGTGTTCCCTATCAGCCTTGTCACACAGGGGTGTTGTAGCTCAGAGTGGCCACAGGTGGCATCAGCAAATGTGAGTGGGCTGGACAAAACAAGGCAGCGATGAGAAAAACAGTCCATCTACAGGACTCGAGCTGAGAGGAGAGGCAGGGATAGGCCTTGAAAGTTAAACTACCATCAGCCCAGCCCTAGATGTTGTCTATCTTGATGTGCACCGGGCATTTAATGAGTTGTCTTCCAGATTGCGAAGGCCACCTATTGCTCTCCCTTTGGGGGTTGGTTATGTGTGTGACTCGAACGTCCATACTGCTTTCAAGGTGCTTTAAAATACTGGAACTGTGGGGTACCGGTGAGGTGTCTTCTTTTTACTACATGTGTGAAACTGACATACCGGTTTGCAACTCGCCTGAGGTAAACACAGCAGTCTAGTTAGAGTTGACCCAGATCCAGGTCCGGGGTCTCTCCGTGAATGTTCTGTCCCGTGATGTCACTTACATTCTGGGGGTGCCCAAGGGTGGTTGGGTTCCAGAATGTTCATAGTCATTCTTGGCCTCCAAAATTTCAAGTAGACTCGCATTGTAAACTCAGGGCCAAAGGCCTTTTGTGAAAAAAGAAGGACTGGGTGTGATGGCTCAAGCCTGTCATCCCAGCACTTTAGGAGACCAAGGCAAGAAGATTGCCTGAGTCCAGAGGTTCGAGCCCAGCCTGGGTGACTTGGTGAGATCTCGTCTTTATAATAAATTAAAAAATTAGCCATGCATGGTGGCGCACACCTGTAGTTTCAGCTACTTGGAAGGCTGAGGCGGAAGGATCGTTGGAGCCCAGCAGGTCAAGGCTGCAGTGGCCATGAGCGTGCCACTGCAGTCCAGTCTGGACGATGGAGTGAGACTCTGACACTATGTGTTGTGTCCCCTGAGGTCGTACCTTGGGAGGACCACAACTCCAGGGCAGGAGAAGTAGGGTGACACTTAGAAAAGGGCTTATGGTATAGGGAAATAACACCAAGGTCAAGCCTGCCTAGAGGAGGTTTTTTTTTTTGAGTCGGAGTCTCACTCTATCACCCAGGCTAGAGTGCAGTGGCACGCTCACGACCACTGTAGCCCCAACCTGCTGGGCTCAGGCGATTCTTCCACCTCAGTTTTCCAAGTAGCCGGAACTATGGGCACATACCACCACATCCGGCTAATTATTTATTTATTTATTATAGAGATGAGGTCTTGCCAAGTTGCTCAGGCTGGTCTCAGACCCATGGGATCAGGCATTCCTCTTCCCTCTGCCTCCCAAACTGCTGGGATTACAGGTGTGAGCCATGCTCCAATATGGGAGGAGTTCATAGCAGTGCCTTGGGGAGAAGGAGGAGATGGATGTTTTTTCAGATGTTTCCTGCCAATTTTCTTATTCTCAGACTCCTTCTTGGCCTCTCTCGTTCTCTCCAACTTCTGATCCACCATCATTCTGGACATGGAAAACAATTTTGTGTATTTTCTGGTACACTGGTGCCCTTCACCTCCAGCCCCTGTTAAGTGAGCTATGGGAATTTGTTGGACCAACATTACAAACAGCATGACTGTTCCAGCCTAAGAAACCTGCTTCTGGGTTCCTTGGGGTCAGTCAGAGATGAAAGACAGAGAGCTGGGAGAAATGGGCATTAATTTGATACCATGGAGTCAGGGAGTGAGTTGGTGTGCTCACCCAAAATGCTCGCTCCCAGACAGTACAACTTTCTGAGTTTATACTTCATAGCCCCTCACCCACTCCCATGGCTAATTAACAAGGGCGTGACTCAAGGTCACCTAATCCTTTCACCCATCCCCAGGGCTGAGTTAACAAGGCCTATGGGCAGTTTCAGAATGACCCAAGACCTCCTAATTACGTTGACATCTTAGAGTCATCTTTTGGGATTTACATGGATTTTAAATTTTATAGCTCCTTAAGTGGGGGGAAGGAAGTTACAACAGTCAGAGGAGCTACCTTGGTACATTTAGATAAACAACTTTGAATGAAATATGAGAAAATGTAAGAAATCCC